CGAAAAAGTCGATTGATTAAAATGTATTTAGTCCTCTGAGATATATGATTCATCATATTTTAGAAGGAAAGGTTACACAATCAAAAAATGAAAGGCCTTCATTAGGTCCGAGGATGATGGAATGAGAAAATCGATGAGTCGCATGGAGGAGGCTTAAGATACTCATTGCATATTTAAAGCAGCATTGACCTGATTCTCACTCTCATTTTTCTCTGAAGTGCCAGAGCACGGGGAACCAAGGGTCATTCGTTTTCATCCTCGAATTCTATGGAGAAAGGCACATCCCTCTCAGTGTTCTCATTCGGGTATTGTAAAATGCCTTTGAAGTGGAAGTTCAGCACTGGAAATCCTCACATCACTTGGAATCTAAAGAGACAGGCGGATTAATTGCTTTGGCAGTGATGCTATCGTTGGTTGGTTGGCTGGGCGTGGGTATACACGACTATGAATGTGCGTGTAGACACCAGCTGATATGGCACTTGTCGTCAAAAAGGCTGTGATATAATCCCCCTTCTCAAAGAGCCGGTATCCAGCTGTGCGTGAAAGAATACGCCAGCAGAGTGCGGGGTCTGAAGCGAGGGGTCAGGGGTCGTCTGTCAGCTTTTAATGTGCTGTTAGCAGTGCAGGAGCATCGGCAGGATACAAGGGACTTAATATGTCTCTGTTAAACTGGCCTGTGCTCTGAATGTGGTTCTCCCATCTTCCCCTCTGGGATATTGCTTCTTTCAGAGATAAACTCTCTTTATGTCACAACTAAAGGACAGGAAGTTCAGCTTGGCCTTGGGTAAGGAAAATGCACAGACCCACATCTGCGAGGCCTGGGTTTGAAGAGATACAAGCTGCAGTTGTGTTTATCAAGGTTTTTATATTTTAGCAGTTTTGTATAAGATTTTATTTCAATACAATTGTACATATGGTGTTACTTTTAGTCTAGTTTTTTATTTTGTGAACGCATTTGTATTTTTGTACAAGTGCACAAGTTTGCGACGTTTGTGAATGTTCGTAACGAATGTTCGAATGTTTGTAACAACAGAATTTGTAACCTTAGTTGGCTAACGATGGTTTTCAGAAACACACCCCTAGTGTATTAGAGTTTTATTAGATCGCAAGGCTGGGGTTAGGGTTAGGGTTAGGTTAAGGCCCAATCCCGATTATACCCCTTAGCCCTTCCCCTTACCCAATTATATTTAGCTTGAAGGTTAGGGCTAAGGAGAGGAGCTAGATAGCCTTCAAACAGAGATTTTTCAGGACCTTAACCAAAAGGTAAGAAATTTTCCCAGAATACACCATCTACAATGGTAGCTTGGCTGGTAATGGATTCTTAATAGCGCTTGTATTTCACCATCATGCTTAAAAAACTCAGCTAAAATAAAAACTGCAAAATTTAGCCCCACAACATTCTGTCACTCAATGACACTCGAATACCCTGTCTGATAAGTCTAATGGCTGGGAATGAGCTTTTTATAGTGTCTGGTGTAATGTTAATGTTGTTTTTATTTGTTTACATAGATGGATATGGCCACGGTGTAAGTGCACAGTACAGATACAAGTTTATAGCCACATTATATAGTATGATGACATGATATATGCCTTTAGTGATTTTCGGAAGATAAATGCCCAAAAGCAACACAACTAGAATAACTACAGCAGTCATGATCGTCTGATCTCATATAAAGCAAGAGATTGCGATGACATATGATGATGTGTGCAGATGTTGTAGTGCTGTTCCATGTCTTGGGGGGTACATTTTGAACCCCTTCCCCTTCACACTCAAGGGGCAAGGGGAATATGAAGGACAAAAATAATACAATAATAGAATTGGGATTGGGCCAAAATGTTGATATGTTACAATTTTTCTTATAGCCTGGAAAATGTCTAATGGTGGAGTGGTTTCAGTAGAGTTTAAGCAAACAGTCTACTGATACTCTAAAATAATTAATTGATATGTAGTTTCAATATTACATAGTCATTAAAATGTGCAATTTGGACAAAGTGATATCAAAATAAAATAATTGTATACACAAACACTGAATCAAAAACTATTAATAGTTAAACAAATAAATGTAAAAAAAAGAATAATTCGGAATTTTTCATATTAAAGATCATGTATGTAAATAAACATACTTTTTTTTGGCAAATTACTATTTATGTATTTTTTTTCTGTTTGTCTGTAAAAGTGCCGGGCGTCACGGTGATGCAAAGGGTGAAACGATTGCCTCACATCAAGAAGGTCACTGGTTCGAACCCGGTTGAATCAGTTGGCATTTCTGTGTGGTACGGGTGAATTGAATAAGCTAAATTGGCCATTGAGTATGTGTAAGAATGAGATGATGTATGGGTGTTTCCCAATGTTGGGTTGTACCTGGAAGGGCATCCTCTGTGTAAAACATATGCTGGATAAGTTGGTGGTGCATTCCGATGTGGCGATTCCTGGTTAATAAAAGGACTGAGCCAAAAAGAAAATGAATAAAAGTAAAAACGCCATCTACAGGTACTTCTCTAAACAGATGCATTTCAAATTTTTTACCACAGCACAGAATAATTGCTTGCTGGTGTAATTATAAACACAATTATTTTGCTAATTATCATTTGATTTAATTTTTTGTGCCTTATTTTAGCTAGTTATAATTTTTCATGTATTGTGGATTTTTTTTTATTATAGCAGTGAACTTATTTTTTATTTTATTGTTATTATTATCAGTGCTATAACATTGCAACACACTAATAACCTTGGTGTGTATATGCTTCATGCCTGATTATAGTTTTTATGAAGTATTTCAAAACTGCATATAAGGCATCTGAATGTATGTGGATAACTTTTCTGGGCCTGTTTTCTGAAATCATTCACATGCATTTTAATTTACTTCTGTCTCTGTGAAGAATTAGAGCTCTAGTTGGAACTAGATGTCCTTTTCTAATAAACGTAATAAGCAGGCATGTAGAAACAGCAAATGTCAAGAGTGATACAGCGTATACAGTATGGAGAGCGCCCGAGCCAAACTGCATACTCATAGATTAAAAGTGTCAATAGAGTTTATTTTCAGTTGACAGAGAAGGAATTGTGGCCTCAAATAGCTGGGACTCAATTGCAAGCAAACCGCATCACATTGATCAAAGCTGATGCCGTGGCAACAGCAGGCAGTAAAATCAGACATACTTACTGGATTTATTAAAATGGGCTGCGAGAACTTGACAAGCTGTAACCCAGTCAGTGTAGATAAACAGGAACATACAAATGGGATTGCTTCAGGAAATGTTCATGGAAATAGTCTTTTGTAATATCCAGCAGTATGCAAATCCAGTTCGTAAATGTTTGGGTACTGCCATGGTAGGGAGTGAAAGACTAAATGAAAGAAGGAACCTTGGAGGAAAATCTGCCTTGTGGTCACATTCACAGCTCCATGGCAAAAATTCATGGGCAAAATCCAGTCACTCAGTGGGAATCCTTTCGATGTAGAGTTTAATGTGAGGGCAAAAAAGAGTTCCCCACATGGTTTGTTTTCAGGTTGGTAACCAATTTTACAAGTTGACTATCATAGAGCTGCTTAGTTTGAGAGCGATTGCCACACTATTGACCGCAGAAATTTTTGACTGAATTTTCACTTGTAAAATCCAGCAATTTCATAAGAAACACATATAATTAGTGCAAAATATTTTGCAATAGGTTTAAGTTGAAAATGCAAAAGTGCCACATTGACCAACACAAAGCTGCTCACTTTTTTAAGTTGAGTTGTCCTTAAATAAATAAAGGAATGAATGAATGATTAAAATAATGAATGAATGAATGAATGAATGAATGAATGAATGAATGAATGAATGAATGAATGACTTCCTTATAAAATTAATAAATAAAAAACATATTATTAACAAAAAAACTATTATTATTATCATTATTATCATTAATGTTATCATTATTATTATTATTATTATATTCAGAACATTTCTCAGTAATGGGTTGCAGCTGGAAGGGCATCTGCTGCATAAAACATAAGCTGGATAAGTTGGTGTTTCATTCAGCTGTGGCGACCACAGATTAATAAAGGAAAGTCGAAATGAAAATAAATGAATAAATATTCAGAACAATCATTGTTTTTATATCGTTGTTTTTTAATAATGTGTTTTTGTAAAGGCACATTTTTATATTGTTTTTACAAACATATGTTCAATTTCCTAATGCTTTTTTTTAATGTATAATTATTTATTTATTCATTTTATTTTATTTTGACATGTCAGATGCTTCACTATACAACTTTTTTTTACTTCTGATCTGTTAAGTAATGATTAAGCAAACATTTATCCAAACTCAAAGTAACTACCATGGTAATATATAGGAACAACCAGGTGAGCAAATTTTTAATTTGATTTAAATGCAGGAAAAAAGTTTGAGGGGTAATTTCTTATTTATTTATTAAGTTATTTTATTTTATTGACTTCAATAACAAACACAAACTTTGACCTTACACAAACAAGTCAATAATAGTAGCAATTGTAATAGGTTAACAGATCAAACAGTAAACATTAAAAACAGGAACAAAAATTAAAAACTAAATAGCCACACATACATAACACAAATACAGCAAAAGGAAAGAAGGACTTATCTGTGATATTTCCAAAATAATTATCATAATAATCCAAGAATCACTTTTTTGTTTTTAACCAATCTAAGAGATTTAATGAAAATATACATTTTTATTATAAAATGTGGAAAAAAAAGAAGGCTGTGAATGCGAAAATTTTTGTTCGTGACTAAAATATTTTCCATACAAAATAAAAAAGTTAGTAATTCTCTGGTATATCGAATTACCGTTATAGTATAAAAATAATAAACTAAACATTTATACTCCATATATAGAAGTAACTTGGTGAACAACCTCTTTAATTAGATTTTTGAAGCTAGATGCAAGTAAAAGTTTGAGGAAGAAAAATTCTTACGTGTCAACACCCCGTGACTGTGACCGTTGAAATCAGGACTGCGCATGCGTCAGTTGTGTCACTAGAATACACCGGGAAGGTCGACGGAGCGCTGCTAGCCGACAAACATGATGTCCATTGCTGCCCGTTCGGGGACTTTTTCCCCGTACCTGCAAGCTACAAATTATGCCGTGGCAGGTCCACTAAAGCCTCTCATAGCCGGCGTCGTCGTGAAGAGTGATAATCTGTTGGTGGACACGAAGAAACCGTTCCTGTGCCGGGAGTCCTTGTCCGGTCAGAGCGCGAAGAGCGGCCTCGCCGTGTCCTCCAGCCTGAACGGTGAGTTTAATAGCGGGCCTCAGTCAATTCGAGATTCCCGGTCTCTGTAGCAAGAGGAGGCCGTGCAGCTAGCGCGCACTCAAGGGCACAGTGAACTCTCATGATTAACGTTGATGTGCTTCGTCAAGTGTCTCAAGAATTTTGTAGTGTTGTACGTTACTAATGCCGAAGTATTATTATTGCAAAGTTTATTTAATACCAACGTATATAACAAAACGGCAGTAGCAGTAGCTCACGTGCTACATCCGTTAGCTTCATTGCTAATGTCCTTGCAGCAGCTAAGACTAGAAGTAAATCAATGTCTGTCTTTTGGGGGGGAAAAAAATAATTGTCATTTAGCCTCACTTTGTACGAATTACGAATGTTATAATAAAATAATTAAGTACGTTTTAGAATTCGGTTCATTTCATTTATGGTTTTGGGTTAAATATAACGTTAGGTAACGTTATTGGGTTTATTATATGACACAACGTCAGGCCTCTTGTTACAAATTTTTGATGTGGATTTCTGTTGCAAATAGATATTTAGATGTTATGTTTCATCAACGTCGGAGTTGAATATTAAGCTGAATATACTGGACATTTGTCAAGTTTTCGACATTCACAGCCACAGTGACCTCCCTTCCTTTAAACTTGTATATGTATGTATGTGTGTGTATATATATATATATATATATATATATATATATATATATATATATATATATATATATATATAAAACATAAGGTGGCTTTTTAAATCAGGCCTTGAGATATGCATGTGTTCATGTTGTCATTGTAGTGACACTGAAATCACCATGAGCATCACAGGTGTCTGCAATTTATTCGTTCAGAGATTTGTCAAGTTGTAGTTTGATATTCAGAAAAGATTTATGTGCCACACTATATTTACTATGTTTATTTATATTATATAAAATAATGATGATAAACAATATATACACACACACACAAACATGTATATTATACATAGAGGTAAAATTGGTTTTATATCCGCACATTCTGACTTTCTCCTTAATAATATAATTTCATAAAAGTATTATTTGCAAAATCTGTATAGTGAAATCATATTAGCAGCCAATGACTATAAAAGTACAACATTGTTCACAGTCAAATAAACAGTGTTAATGTTGTTTTCAAATCACACTTGCAGGTTATTTTAGACCGAATATTTTAAGTGCTATAGTAAACAATAAAGGGAGTTGTCACTGAATAAATGTGTTAATATAAAACCAACTTTACCTCTGTTTTATATGGGATCTGCTTTATTATTATTTGCATCGTGGAACTCATAGGGCCGTATGTCAGTTTATTGTTCTGCTACTATTTCATGTGCCATTCAATGCACATTTTTTAGTATTTCTAATCTGTTTATTTAGTTCTGTTATTATTGTTTGTTTTTCCATTTTGTAGCTCGCTCTTCAGTACGCTTCGCTCACACAGACATCAAGATCCCTGATTTCTCTGACTACCGCCGGCCAGAAGTTTTGAACCCAAATAAGCAGTCGCAAGAGAGTGGTGATGCCCGGCGGGCCTTCTCCTATCTGATGACGGGGTCTACCCTTGTGGTTGGAGTCTATACAGCCAAGACAGTCGTTACACAGTTTGTGTCCTCTATGAGTGCCTCAGCTGACGTTTTGGCTTTGTCCAAGATTGAAATCAAGCTGGCAGACATCCCTGAGGGTAAGAACATGACCTTCAAATGGAGAGGGAAGCCCCTGTTTGTCCGCCACAGAACAGAGAAGGAGATCGAGACTGAGGCTGGCGTCAATCTCGCTGAGCTTCGGGACCCTCAGCACGACAAAGACCGTGTTGTGAACCCGTCCTGGGTTATCGTCATTGGTGTCTGCACCCATCTGGGCTGTGTGCCTATTGCTAATGCCGGTGAATTCGGCGGTTATTACTGCCCGTGCCACGGCTCTCATTATGATGCATCTGGTCGCATCAGGAAAGGCCCTGCTCCGCTCAATCTGGAGGTGCCCTACTATGAGTTCCCAGATGACGACACAGTGGTTGTAGGATAAAGGACTGTACTACATTAACTATGATCCACACAGACCGTGTGCTTTGCGTGTTTGATTTTTGTTCATCTTGTTTCAGACACACTATCTGCATTGACTCGATGGGTAACAAAGGTTAATTGTAAGTAATAAAATGTATTTTATCTGATGGAATCTTCACTCAGCTCTATTTATTCAGACTCGATATACAAATTGTTTAACGGAGTCACTTGGGTTGTCTAATTTTATGCATTGCAGGTTTTTCAGATAAGGAACAAATTAGATCTGTAGGATATAATTGTTAAAGTGATGTTGGCAAAAACAACAAAGTCAGGTGGGTGATGTGTGCAGGGAGTAGGTGGAAAACAAAGTGCAGTTTACCATACATAATCAATGAAATAGCTTTTGCACCAATATTTTGTCATTGGTAAATGTAATAACTGTTTGAGGCTAGGTTTCAGATGAAACCATTAAAAAGAGTGAAATATGGACACGTTGAGTGTTCTGTTCCTGATTGTCTGTGGGTAAACCACTTTAGTAAAGCTGAAAAAAATATTCACCAGGTTCATGCTGTCTTTTACATTTCTTAAAAATCTATTTTAAGACATAAAAAAGATAAAACCAAATCTATGATGCATGTGAGAATATGATGATTGTGGTAATCATGATTGATTTTAAACGCATTAAAAAGCAAAGACTGAACAAGAACAAGATGTTTTATTTGCTCTACGGGCCATACTGACTTGATATCTGCAGTCATTTCAAATTCAGGAACAGTTTTATTTAATGAGTGTGCATCAGTTTAAAGCTACATGTTTACAAAGGAAAAAAAGCAAACAATGTTTTATTTATTTATTTTTATGCTTCTACCGTCATTGATTACTCCCACAGCACTAGTCCAGGTAGCCACAAAACATTAATTGATTTTATTGGCGTTAGCCCTTTTTCTCTTCCCTCTTCCTCAATTAGCTTTTAGTGTTTAAAAGTAGAAAACAAAAAGCTCACAGGCCATTCTGAAAAAGTGGACTACAGATTTTACACTAATTTATCATTCAACATTTTGAGGCCTTGCCACCAAAACAGAAGCCTTTTGTTAAATAATGTAAGAACTTTGTTTAAATGCTACTGGGTTGTAATTTTCAATTTGGGACATATTTTGAAATATCGCAACAAGTATTCTAGTATACTATTTTGTTCTGACTAGAAATATGGAGAATCCTTATTTAACATACAAATAAAATACATGTTTATAAGGATGCACAATGGTTAAAATTGATTCTAATAATCTCAATATGTAAAGCAAAACAGGACAGTTTGTCTTGAATGAAAGTCGTTCTTTTGATTTCACGTGATTGAAGTGGCATCAATTAAACATGAAATACTTAAAGCTAAGAAGCTAATGCATCTTGTACATTTGAATTGGAATCTCAATATGAATTGCATGCGTTTACTATTCTGCCATTTTTTTATTTATTTTTTCAGAAACCCAGAGTTTCCACATGAAGTCAATTGCTATATACTTGTAATGTGCTCTTGTGAGGCGACACAAAGACAGGTAAACAGTAGCGTTCCTCTCATCCAGATATTATTTGAATAGACGTTTCAGGGCCATATTATCATATAGAGTAGCTTTTCTCCGTGGGTGCATTTGTGTTTGAATGTCTGAGAAATGCGTCGGACATGTCTGCGGGTTAATAGAGTTGATATGCTCCTTTGCTGGGCTGCACAGAGCTTCAGTAGACCTTCGAGGTGAAACCGTTAATTCATACCAGCATATTGATGCCACTTGACTCGGGCACAAAGCATACGCTTCATCTGGAACATTTTGTGTAACCTAACAATTCAGGTTTGCCTTTTTATGATTGTGCCACTTCTATTACTTCTATTAGCTTGTCTTTTTTTTTTTTTTTTTTTTTTTTTTAAACATCTTTTTCACTGAATGCATCTAGGTATCGCCTGAACATTCACTGATTTCATTTTCTTGCAAGCTCTGGGTATTTTAATATATTTAATTCACTTGATTGCCGTTTTCTCTGCCTTCCTCTGAGCATCCACTACTTATGACATGCAACCTGCTCAGTCGTCCTGGAGTCCTCAGCTCATGCCAGGTCTTGCTGCCAGCAGCTTGGCCGACATTCAGGCCTGACTGATAAAATCACGAGGTCCCGGGGGTTGTCAGGGTACCATTGTGTATCAGCGGAAAATCACGGAGATCCCTGGCTCCAACATACTTATTTAGTATCCAACAGCAATCACTTTATTGGACTAATTTCTGGGCAAAAAGTCAGTCGGAAGGAAATAATTTTCACATTTTACTTTCTTTTATTAGTTTAACCCTTGCTCTGTTCAAACATCCACTAAATTAAACAAAAAATGCATTAGATTATTATCTATTATTAATTATCTGTTAATCAACCTCAGTCCTGATCAAGACTACTAAATGTTTTTTTGTTTGTTTTTAAATACAGGATTTTAACTCTTTCATTGCCAAGTTTACAAATTATGTCACTGATTTGTTGGGAAAAAAACACATAACATGAAAAATGACATTTTTAATATAAAAGAAATTGTGGACTTTAAGTTTCACATGTTTCTTGGACATGTAAAAGATTAGTAACGGCATTGCCTTTGATGTATTGTTAGTTTTTTTGCAGCATTTAATTTAATTTTTTCTCCCTATTATACTGTTGGTGACTATTTTTGCCCATTAGCTTCCATTATAACCACATTTCGCATTTGCAAAACCATGAAAACTAAACCATCACAAAATGCATATAATCAACATTTTAATTGTTGCTGTTTTTTCCTGTTGGGAAAAGATACAATTTTGTAATGTTTACTGTTTAGCATCGGTTGGCACCATTAAACTTTTAGATAGGTTTGTGAAAAAAAAAAAAAAAGTTTAGTGGGATGATTTTTATGTGGAGTTTTATGAAGTATAACAGCAAATTAAAGTGTGTATGTGTGTCTGAGAGTGTGACAGTGACCTTTGTGTATTTGATGCATCTGAGGAAATCAAACCATCCATCTCATCTCTCAGAACTACATGTAGTAAACAAAATAAAGACTGGTATTTATTCATGGCTCCCTTTTGATGTTGAGAATCATTTACATCATTAATGAATTTGTCAATTAAAGAGTTAAAATTCTGTAATTTTTTTAAACAATTTTGTAGTTTTGATCAAGACTGAAAATGCTTAACAGATTTATGGCAAAAAAATATATATTTTTATATATAAACGTTTTCATCCGGAGTATAACAAGATGTAGTAAATTTGCCCAGAGTGATTTATTTATTTAAGTATTTTCCCAAAATGTGCATCAGAATAAGATTTGTCATCAAAAACCATTCTACTTGCTGAAACTCAGAAACTATTATGGCCAAATTAGGACTCAAAATCAGCCAGGAGTGGATGAAATTTGCATTTGTGTGGTTTTGGACCACTATTATTTTACCTTTATTACTTGAACAAGAGTTAATGTAAGTTGTGCAAATACTAAACTTTGCTTTGGTCGACACTGAATTTGTTCTTTTATCTTTGTTAAAACTAAAAGTAAATAACCCTTACCTTAACTAAACTAAAACTAACAAAACAATATATCTACAAACTACAACAAACTAGTATATCAATGAAACAAACAAAATAAACTGAAATTTACAGTACATTTAACAGTAGCCTTTCAAAATAAAGGCTAATATTAAAATGCAAAACAAAAAGAATTAGAATGAGCTGTACATGGTATGTACAATTCAAGATAAATTAAATTACATGAGCTTATGGTGCATAAATACATTACACAAGACAGAAGGGGATTTGAATTTGTGAGAAAAAGTTAACAATATAAATGTTATTTACAAATTAGTGGCAAAAAGTACACTGTAAAAAAAAAGAATAATCCTGTTGCCTTAATCTTTAAACGGAATCAAATTAACCTCATGAGTCCATTGAACTTCAAGAGTTCACACAGATAATGTTTGACAACTGTGAGCAAGTTAGCAGGTTTGGCGTGCTGCCCCTGAGCTCGGAGGTAGTTGAGCCCAGGGCTCCCGCCTGGTCCATAGAGCATGTGAGGGGAGTACGAGATCAGGTGGTCCTCGGGAGCTTCCTGTGGTTTAGGAGGAGAAGGGGTGGATGGGGGGGTTTCTTTGGTTAACGAAATTAAGGGAGTAGTTCTAACTAGGGTACTTATAATGAGTTTGGATCAATCTGGTTGGTTAGCTAATGCGTGTAGATGAGTGGCCAGCTGCAGTCAATCACATCATGTGCTCCTCTCGAAATTAGTTTGTGAAACTTCACTTATATTATAAACGGGCTTAAAACAGCTTAATAATAATAATAATACATTTTATTTATAATGTGCTTTTCTCAGTACCAAAGCGCTAATAGGCAAACGAGGCAAACAATGCAGAACAGTAAAAACAGACAAAAATAAAATAAATAAAAGACCACAATAAAAGCTTGAATAACTTAAAAAATTAAGTTAGAATATGATTAACTTCGTTTAATATGTTACAATGAACTAAAACATGCTGTCACGACTAATTAGTCATATTTTATTTTACAGTGTAAAAATAAGGGTACTGTATTGTTTATGACCACATAAAAAAAAAAAAAAACAAGTAGCAAATGTTGTGTTAATAACCTTAGAGTCTTGCAACACTGTTTATTCAGTCACTAATTTCACTTGTCTCCTTTGAATTCTACTAGTTTAAGATGCACATCTGCTTGTACAATTGCTCTGCATAATGCACAACCTCCCAGTGGGGACAATACAAATCAGCCCAATGGGGGATGCGGGCGATTCTGTTTTGTTTTGACAAATAACTTGATTTAATTCTTAGTGTGGTAACAAAGGCTAGTTGATTAAAATGCTTTATTTGTTTTCTGATGCAACAGAATGAAAGTGCTAAAATGCCGGACGATGGCCACAATATGGCATTCTGCACTCATATCACTATGCTGCTGCTTTGTTGATTTTTTTCATTTCTTTCCATAGTTTGAATTGATCGCTACAAAGCCTGTAGAGGAAGCGTGTGATGGTTCAGATGCTGAATCCGTTATCTATGAAGAGAGTGTGTGACTGTGAGGGTGGAACAAGAAAACCAAGACAATTATCTTAAAATTCTCTCTGATTTGCTATCCTATTATCTGATGTGTCACATTAATGTTATAATCCTCAATTTGTCTCAGGGGTGATCAGATTACGATGAAAGATTTATTAGGCTCCCTGTAGTTCATTTGAACTTGTTTTGCATAACTTAACATAGTAATGAGTTTTCTTTTCTTTATTAAGAATGGCTGCTAATGGCTGCATCTTTTCCTCTAATATCATTCAGTCTGTTTATTAATCTGTTCCATCTTCATGACAGCGTGCTTTTATTTTTTAGTGAACCAAAAATGGTATAATCACGAGTAATACATAATTTAAATCTTATTTGAGAATTACTGTAATGCTAACAAATCCATCTTTATCCCATGACAGACCTCAAATTTCCATGCACATTTTAAAGTCATTTAGCTCTTAAAATATTACGGCTCATGGAGGAAAACAAA